TCCAGGATAGCCAGGGCTACACAGAGAAACCCTGTCTCAAAAAACCAAAACAAACCAAAACAAAACAAAAAAACCAAAAAAACTTCCACTGAAATTTCCTGGCTTCTGTGCAATTGAAATGTATGCCTCAAGCATTTAGCAATGTGGTTTATTTACAGAATTGCCTTCCGGTTCACATGTATTGGGCCTGAGCTTTGGTGTTCCATTTTCTGTCAGAAGTTGTTTATTTCTAACCCATTTTAGTTTCCTGTTGCTTTATGATTGGTGTTATGACCACAACAAGAACTCCAGGAAATCTGTCATACACGCTGCAGCCAGATTGAGACCCTGTCAATTAAAAAAAACCAAAACAACAAACTAGACATTATTATACAGCTATATTAGGAAATAAATTAGAGTTGAGCATTGGCTATATTAGGTAGGAACTTAGATTTAGAAATGTCACTCAGAGCCAGATTTTTTGTGAACAGTTCTTTAGCGTATTGGATTGCTAGTTCCATATCTTGGGCAGTGACTTAATCTCGATTAGCCTCAGTTACAGCATCTACACAATGGGGCCTATAATGCTTTATGTGCAGCATTATTGGCAGGAGTAAATGAACTAATATGAGTAAAGCAAGCAGGCCAGGTCTGCATTTGTGTAGATTCCACGTGCTGATTGCTGCTACCCATCATAACTTGTTAAAAAAATCCATCAGGAGAAATTGTTTGCTTTTGCTTTTCCTTTCCTTTCTTTTTTGTGTGTTTTAAAAGACAGGGTCTTATCTAGCTTAAGCTAGCCTCTAGTTTGCTGTGTAACTGAGGATGACCTTGAACTCATACTCCTTTTGTGTACACCTAACTGCTAGGATTGCAGACATGCCTTACCACAGGTGGCATTATGTGCTGCTCAGTTTCTTTTCATTAAAAATAACTAAGTGATGTGGGGTGCCCTTCTGTATGCTGTGAATACGTTTTATTACCATTGGTTAATAAAGAAGCAAAATCCCCCAAAATGGATTATGGATATTTGTCTTTGTTTAGGGGATTTGGTTACAAATTGTTATTGGTCATAGTCAATCTCTTTCTAAAGAAGAAAGGGAGTACAATATAGCAATGATTGGGAAAAGGGATGATGGTGATGATTTTGTTTTTTTGAGACATGTTTTTTTCTGTGTAGCTTTGGAGTCTGTCCTAGAACTTGCTTTATAGACCAGGCTGGCCTTGAACTCACATAGATCGGCCTGTCTCTGCCTCCTAAGTGCTGGGATTAAAGGTGTACATCACTACCGCCTGGCCAGGGTAGATAATTGTGATGGGAAAAAAAGGTAGGTTATGAAATCTACTTTAATCAAAAAAAGCCAACTGTTAATTTTACATTGGTATAGATTTAGTTTATTGATACAAATTTAAAGTTAATTTGTTATACTATATATATATTTCTACACTTGTTTAAGGCATTGTGTTTATACACCTCAATTAAAAATGAAATGTATAATTAAAAGTACAGATTAATAGTCGTCTAATAGACTTATAATCATGTTAGTTAGGTTTTCTAGGTATACAAAATATATTTCAGATAGGCAATCTTCAAACACTTCAAAGACCTACAGAATGTGCATTTAAATGTTTTAAAAACTTAGACTTTCTCAATAGTGAGACATGTCTGCTTCTGGCAGCACCAATCTACTTCAAAGAAGATGATGGGCATCAAAGAAAACTCCATATGGAGTTTATTATCTTTGTGGCAAAAGTTAGCTACTGAGCCAAAAAAAAAAAAGATTGCCCTCGCCTCAACTGTTGACAGTATGCTGTCCAAGTGGGACAAGCAGGACACAAAAGAAAGGACTGCCAAACTTTGCCAAGACAAGGTAGGACAGCCAGTTAAAAAAAAATCCTGCTTCACAGATAAGTCTGTCAGCTATGGTAGGCCTGTAGGCTAAAGATGGATGCCCCCAGTGTTACAGGGGAACTTTGGGTGACTGTCTAAGCAGTCTGATGTCCCTGACATTAGGTATCATTTCACCATTCTGGGGTCTTTGATATAGTTGGAACACTAGATAGTTACAGTCTTCTTTAGTTATGATAACAGATAAGTTAGATATAAAACTTTAGATTCACAAAGATAAGATAGATGATAGAGTATCTACTTTTGCCAAATACAAATAGACTAAATATTATAACTATACTTCTTGCTTGACTCGTGTTTTGTTATATGTAATTTTACAGTGTTAAAGTTAAAACCTTTGTTTTTAATTAGTCGGAAAGGGGGAGATGATGTGGAATGCCCTTCTGTAAGTTGTTTTATTACCATTAGTTAATAAAGAAACTGTTTTGGTCAACGGCCAGGTAAAATAGAGGCAGGCAAGAAATCCAAACAGATATGGAGAGAAGAAAGGAAGAGCCTTTGTAGAAGTAATATACCAGAACATTACCGGTAAGCCACAGATATGTGGTGATAGGCAGATTAATAATAAAAATTAATCAATTTAATTGTGAGAACCAGTCAGTAATATGCCTGAGCCATTGGCCGAATAATCATAGTTAATATTAAGCCTCTGAGCATTTATTTGGGAACTGGCAGCCAGGAGAGAAACCTCCATTTACAAATAGTCACAGGTCTTAAGCAGTTAGTGTGTATCAGGTACCATGCTGGATGTTTTGTATGTATTTCATTATTATTATTATTATTGTTTTGGTTTTTCGAGACAGGGTTTCTCTGTATTGCTTTGGAGGCTGTCCTGGAACTCACTTTGTAGACCAGGCTGGCTTCGACCTCACAGAAATCTGCCTGCCTCTGCCTCCCAAGTGCTGGGATTAAAGGTGTGTGCCACCAACGCCCGACTGTGTATTTCATTTTTAAATGATGCTTATCTTTCTCATTGATAAGGAAAGGGTGAATTACCCCAGTCATATATTTGCATCCACATCAGACTCAATGTAGGTCACTTTACACAGCAGTCCTGATGTATGTGCAAATGTCCTCATCTCTAGCATGGAAGTCCTTGAATGAAAACAAGGATAGCAATCAATAAGTATTATTTTTTGTGTCCCTATTATTTATCTAGTAGTCACCATGCCAAGTGTTTTACCTACCTCCTCATTATTCCCAACTTGAAGAAATAAGTACCAGTTCCATTTTACAGAAGAGAAGATGGAGATTCAGAAATTCTTATTTAGTCAGTGGTTGTGCTGGGATTGGATTTTATGCCTGCTCTTGTTTATTCTGTTATGCAGTATCAACATTTTAGCAGTTGTTTTTTAAACGAGATATGATTTTCAAAGATAGCTTTCCCAGACACTTGATACTAATTGTTCTTAATTTTTAGATAAGTAATAACCAGATTCTTGGCAGAAACTTGTAGTGTGATATTTGTTGGCTAGGACCGTGTTCTGTCTCAGAGGAAGCAATAGCATCCTTGTATGGTCAAAGACCTCAGGAGTGTGTATAACTTGTGTTAACTCAATGGATGTTGGTATTTCCTAGTTCTCGACCGTGGAAGACCTCAAACCTCAATCATGCTTCATACTCAAATTAAAGCACATTCTAATTGGTAATCAGTGCATAAGGAACCAAAGAAAATTTTAATTAAATGCTGCCGTGTAAATTTTCTAGTCATTTTATGCCTATTAAAATGTTTTTCTTACTTAAAGCCCCCTTGTAGAACTCTGCCCTTCCTCTTCAAACTTTACCAAGATTTTGTGCTTTTGCTCGTCTAAGGGCTTAATTAGCATCATCACAGATTTAGTCTGCTGCACATTTGCTTAACAGGCATTTAGATGCACTGAATGAACTCCACAGACTGGGTGGGTCCCTTAAGGGGACCCTTATGTCTCTGAGCCTCAGTTTCTTCACCCTGTGAAATGAGGGTAATAGTTCTTCCTGAGGCTGTTGAGGTGGCTTAGAGATAATGTATGTAAGCTGACAAATTCATGGTTCAGTTAGAGGAATTGCTTGGTAGTTGATACGAATTAGTTTTAGAAGTTGCTGTGGTTTTTCTTTTACTGAGGTCTTTTTTTGTCTTATTCTTTTTAGTGGCTGTTTTTGAGGCTTCTCTTACATCATGGCCTTGGGAGTAAGGTGCTTCCGCCTGCTGCATCCCGTCTTTTGCAGTTACCATGCTACTTTGACCAGACCTATTTCAGAAATTTCCATGAAGCCTGTTCATGTACAACAACATGACCACAGGCAATACTTAGCCTACCCAGCCGTGCCAGTTCGCCAGTTTGCAACCAAGAAAGCCAAAGGTAGGTGACCTCCTTCCCCCACCTCAGTCCTTCCTTACATTTGCAGAGATCTCAGAGATGTATGGGGTCCTTCCCGGGATGCCTCAGACATTCATACACCAACTCTGTTGGAACCCAGAGTGTGTTTTATTGTTATTATACCTCATTTGTTTTCTTGGTGGCTCAGAAAATGCCTCATTTATTTGATTGAGATGCAGAACTAGAGGTAAAAGTATCAAGCCTACTGGAGTGCTTGTGGCAGGGATCAGCATATACTTGTCCTTTAGGAAGATTCAGATTGGGGGTATAATTAAAGCCAGAAGGGTTTTGGGTGTCAGGGCATTAAAGCCACGGGCTTAGATGGATGATCTTAATGACTTATGTCATCCAAGAATGAGATTTTGATGTACCGCAGGTCTTAGCTTAAATGCCACTCCCTCTGGGATGCCTTCTTTGGCCTGAGACTGGGTCAGGTCCCCTGTTACATGTACTCATATACACTGTTATTTTACTTTTGACACACTTAGAACTGCACTAATTAATTAATCAGTTGTAAAATTGATTATTGTTTGTTAGCTGCCTGCCATATTGGATCTGATGAAGATCAGTTTCTTCTTTGTTGTTTAGCACTCTCCAGGGCTGTATGTATATTGTGTATTTTCAGAACCTTGGTTGGATGAATGACTGGATGACAGAGTGCTCTGGCAGACCTGCAGTTTGCAGTGGGTCAGGTGATTTACTGCCAAGGGTAGTGCTAGGATGTCCTGCTGAGTATTTACCCTTGGACCTTCCTTTTCTGCTTTTTCACAGATCTGCTTTTGTTGAAAGGAGGAATAGCATGCTGCTAAAAGAAAATAAATGCTTAGAAGTTTTATCTTGTTAAGTTAATGTTTGATTTGTATGTTATTTTTAAAATTTTCTAATCTAATTCTTACCATTATCCATTAAAAACAATTATAATTTTCCAGTGAAGAAACCCTTCCAGTTATCTAATGAATACAGATTTGAACATGTTACAAATACCTTCTTATTTGTGTGTGTGTGTGTGTGTGTGTGTGTGTGTGTGTGTGTGTGTATCCTCCTCCAGGTAGAGGGAGAACAGGAAACCTGGGGGTTCTGATACCATGGCATCACAGTCTTTTAGATGCTCAGTATGGTCTGCAAGCAGTATCTTCATCTGTTTTCATTCTCTTAAATTCCTTGGAGTCTTTCTGCAATAGGAATACTATCCCGTGTTTGTGCTACAGGGGGTAACCTGTAAATGTGGTCATTTTCAGTTCTTTTCTTTGTGCTTTGTATCTTTTTCAAGAATTCTTTTCTATCCCAAGGTAATTTATTTCTGAATGATGTGTGAATTAATAATTTTAACTATAAAGCTGGTTGTGGTGGCTCACACCTGTAATCCTAGTGCTTGAGAGACTGAGGATTATTGACAATTGGAGGTGATCCTGGGCCACATAGTGAATTCCAAGGCACCCTGGTCTGCAAGGTGAGACTTTATCTCAAAAAGCAAACTAAAGCTCAGTTTAGGTTTCTTTTTCATATGGATTGTAAGCTGTGTGGCCAGCACTTTGTCATCCAGTTGGTGCTAATTGCTGTGTTGTACGTCACACCTCCTTATCAACTCCTGTGTGTGTCCATTACACCTCCTTATCAACTTGTCCATCACACCTCCTTATCAACTCCTGTGTGTGTGTCCATCACACCTCCTTATCAACACTCCTGTGTGTGTCCATCACACCTCCTTATCAACTCCTGTGTGTGTGTGTCCATCACACCTCCTTATCAACTCCTGTGTGTGTGTTCATCACACCTCCTTATCAACTCCTGTGTGTGTCCATCACACCTCCTTATCACTCCTATGTGTGTGTCCATCACACCTCCTTATCAACTCCTGTGTGTGTCACACCTCCTTACCAACTCCTGTGTGTGTCCATCACATCTCCTTATCAGCTCCTGTGTGTGTCCATCACACCTCCTTATCAACTCCTGTGTGTGTCCATCACACCTCCTTATCAACTCCTCTGTGTGTCCATCACATCTCCTTAACAATTCCTGTGTTGTACCTCGCACCTCCTTATCAACTCCTTGTATGCCACACTTCCTTACTAGTTTTGTTGAACTGCTGTTTCCGAACTAAGTTGCCCTTAATTCCAGAATCAGTCATAAAGTTTTGTGTGCACTGCTGCAGAGTTTTACCTGTTACACACATTTTTTTCTTGCTTTTTCTCTGTTTTATGAGAAATTTATAGTCACAAGCCAACAATATCTAGAAAATGATATTAATATTGCATATTTTTATGATATAATCATTTATTTTGAGGTATAGTAAATACAGAAAAGTATATACCTACATTGTTAGTGGTTGGCTCAGCAGAGTTTTAGAAAGTGCATACAACCATGTATGTATCTCCCAGATCAAAAAATAAAATGTATGGGGCTAGAGACTGGCTGCTTTTCCAGACATCTGGGGTTTGATCCCCAGCAACCACATGGTGACTCACAACTGTCTGTAACTACAATTCCAGTGGACTCAAGACCTTCTTCTCTTTTCCCTGGGCACTAAGCCCACATGTGGTGCACAGACATACATGCAGGTGGACATTTATACACATATACACATAAAATAATAAAAATAAAATTAAAAGACATAAAATGTAGCATGCCATGGTGTCATTTGGGAGTCAAAGGCAGAAGGTTGCTACAGGTTTAAGGCTGGCCTGGGCTGTGTAACAAATTCCACACCAACCACACTTACATATTGATACACTGTTTCAAAACAGCAACCACAAAATAACAAGCAGATAAAAACAGAAACAAAAGTTATACAAAAAGAAAGTAAAAGAAGAAATCATCACATATGTTTTAGAAGCTTCCCAGGAGATCAGCCTTAACACCTTAGATTTGTTTCATGTTGTACCTGCAACAGTTGCTGTGTGCTTTGATTTCTCAAATAGTTTCCCGTGTGCTACTGCTGCAGTTTATGTATCTGTCCTATAGTAGCACCTGGGCCACTTGTAATTTGGAGTTAAACTATCAGTGTCATTACAATATAAACGTTCTTGTACTTGTGCTTTGGTGCATATGTATGCACATACTTTCCCAGTCCTCCTGTACTCTCTTCCATGGCCCTGCCTCAGAACTCTAGTCTAATTTGAGTATGATTGGTGAAAATGAGCATTCCACTTCTTATATGTTGATGTAAAGAATGTTTCCTTTATATTTTTCATAATCTCTTTTAAGTAAATATGTCTAATCCTTGAGCTTTTTAAAAAGGCACTAATAATCAAATGATACACGATGTTTATTGAGGTGATTCTACCTCCTGCTCTTTAGGTTTTGCATTTCAGGGGATTGAACTCAGAGCCTGGCATGTGCTAAGCAAGATCTATACTCTGTGCCAAATCCTCAGTACTCCCCTGCTTTTAATCTATTAGAATAACTCAAATCAATAGCTTTTCTGGTATTAAATCATTTTTGCATTCTTGATAAGAGCCCTGCTTGGTTTTGGTATTTTGTATGTATCTTGCTTGATATATAATCTGTGTATTCATTGCTCGATTTATCAAGCTTGTATATAGGATTAAGTATTAGGCTCTTTAGTCTGAGTTTGCATGTTAGGAATCAGGGGAGGGAACAGGAGGAGAGGAAGGAGAGGAAACTGGTCAGTATGTAAAATAAATGAAAAAAAATGTTAATTAAATAAAAAAAAAGACTAGGCAGAATGTAACCCCGAATACTGAAGGACTTAACTCTTTTGCTGCCCTTATTAGGTCTTGTTGTTGTTTATATTAGCCTCGTGGTGAGATGAGTGCATAGGATGTAATAGTTAAAGGGCTACACAGAGAAACCCTGCCTTAAAAACAGGGTTAAACAGATTAAAATTTTTACTGTTTTGATAACTCTTACATGTTCTCTTATTCTTAGCATCTTTCATATCATCATCGTTTTTTTGAGCAGTTTATCAGTGTTAAGCTTTAAAAGTTCTTTTTCTTTTTTTGTTTGTTTGTTTCTCTGGCTGTCCTGGAACTCACACTGTAGACCAGGCTGGTTTTGAACTCACAGAGATCCGCCTGCCTCTTCCTCCTGTCCTGAGTGCTGGGATTAAAGGCGTGTGCCACCTTTGCTAAAAAAAATCTTAATGTTATGAGTCTCTTATTTTGTTGATAATAATATTTATTGTGTTTTCTACTTACTCTTTTTTGAGACACCTCTAGCTAGCCTGGAACTCACTGTGTAGGTCAAGCTGGCCTTGAATTCACAGATGTAGCTTTCTAAGTGATGGGATTAGAAGTTGCCTATACTTGGGATCACATTTTCCATTTACTTAACTTTTTATTTGCTTTGCCTATCAGTTACCAAGAAAGGTGTGTTAAAAATCTCCTGGTGTGATTATAGATTGAACATTTTCCATTTTTTTGATTTTGAGGTTACCTTATGGATATATATTTAAGCCCAGAATTGTTATATATCTTCTGATATTATTTTGAAGTAGCCCTGATTTCTAATAATGCATTGTCTTAAAATGTTTTACTTGCTATTAATATAATAAAACCAGCTTTATTTTCATTAACATTTTTTGGGGGGTATAAAATTTTCCCTATCCATTAACCCTGTCATTTCATATATTTATAATTTTTTTTGTATATTCTATATGATTAAGTTAAAGTATTACTGACAACCTTGAACTTTTAGCTAGTCATTTTGGTTCATTTCTGTTTATCTTATTTGTTGAGTATTTACATTTTAATTTTGTTCTGTACTTTTTTGTGGCTTTCTTAGCTTTTTCTTCCTTTCTATTAAGTTAATCAGGTTTCTTTATTCTGTTTTCATCTCTGCTGATTTGTAAGCTATGTGTGTATACCATCTGTCTTTACTTGGATAGTTAGTTACTCCTAACTTTTTTTTTTAACCTTTTCATAGAAATAAACTACAACTTGCTAATTTTTACAAACTGAAATCACCAGTGTAACTAAGACTCCCCTTACCCCTCAATCAAGAACTGGTATATGTGTGGGGGGGGCATGCCTGTAATCTTAGCCCTCAGGAGGCTGAAGCAGACAGACATACATACATAGCTGGGGATGTAGACCAGTGGTGGGACACTCAGGCCCTGGGCTTGAATA